TCTTCCAGCAGCTTGCTAATGGCTACCAAAACTGTGTGGTTGAGCTGAAACTTGCTAAACAGAACAATTCGTGTTTTTAAAAGCCATTAAAGATGTTTGTCGTACAATCACTCCACACTGGAAAAACAACAGTTCAAAGAAATAATAAAGAGTTCAAAATCATCATGACTTTCATGTCCTTGATGAGTTATCTTTTTTTTAAAGTTGCTATTTTGTTTTCAGTTTTGTTTTATGTAGATTTTCTCCTCACAGTTAATGTTGTTAATTTGTTGTTGAGGCACTCCCTGATTTGCAAATCAGGGAGTGCCTCCCCTCTGCACTGTTATGAGTTGTAATTTTATTTTTTGAACTATAACTGTGGTATATTTAGTGATTATACGCTAAATGCTACTTTCATATTATAATTTCCTCAGGTACTTTCTCTCAAAGTGCACACTGAGATGAGTTTACAATTTGCACTATACATAAATAGTGATCACTTACTTCAAATTTATTTTAATTGAATGATAAAATAGATCTCAGACTTCACCGTAGGATATGGTGAATTATATTGATGATGAAAGTTGGTTATAAAAATGTATTCATTAATCATGCTAAAGAAAACAAGATTTGGGCTTTGGACTGTGACATTTAGAGTGGATGTAAAACTAATCTAAGTGGAAGTTTAAACCCTGAAAATGTCATCAGATTTCAATTTTTGCTATCAAATGCATTTATTAAATTATGACGGATTTAAAAATCCTGGGGGAAAAAACACGCATGTCCCCTAAGTACTTTGAGGAACTATAACTTAAAATTTCTGTAGTATGAAGGTAAAATTTTGCAGGCCTTATTTAAATACAATAAAGATTGCATATTTTGTTTCTTTATTAGATATAAAGAAACAAAACAGGCTGCTGTTAACGTCTCTTTTATCAGTGCATCCATGTTTTAACAGCAGAGTTCACTGTCAGCTATTTCTCCTCCAAACACTGCATTGATTTTCAAGAAAAAAAAACCCTGGCTATTTAGTTTTAATTGTCAAGTTTAAGGACATTTCCCTTAAGATATAATCAATATTCCAGTTTTTTTACCAGTTCCATTCAAAATATTGATTCAGGGGCATTTCATATTTAGAAGTCCGGTGTCCTTTCATTCCCTAGGTACATTTCCACAATCAATGCATCTTTAAAAATATTATTTGAAGTAGAGAAAATTGTGTAAGCTACATATTATTGGAATATCGATGGGTGTTTAAATACATTTAATTGTTGGGTTTGGCTAACAAGTTTAACAAGTAGCTGGTGATTAGTGTCTTGATGTAGTCAATACCATTCTAGAATGAACCGATTCGAACCAGTTTTTAAAAATTGAAAGAAAAAAAAAAGGAATAAAAATGACAACAAAATATAATAATTTCCCTTTTATGGCAAGTAATTTTCAACTTTAGAAAATAAACGTAAATACAATTTAATAGTAAGACTGGACATAAGACAACAGGCGACATACAACCGTCTAAATTTTCATAAAGGACATTAAACATACTAATTGTTTTCTCAGACAAACTAAATGTTACAATTACACACATTCAAGCATCCATTTGTAAACCATTTGGTGTAATTTCATGGGTTAACTGCTGGAAATGTATTTCTAAGGCCTTGTTTGGTTCAACATCAATCCAAGGCAGGTGAGCTGGTTTCAGAAACAATAAAGATTTGTCTGAATAAAATAAGGTTTACACCTGTGCACTTCAGCCAGTTCAAATTCTTCCACAAAAAGGATTGCAAACTGTGTCACAGCTCATTCTGGACTTGATCCCATATAATGCATCTCTTCAGTATATCAACTGTACACAACAGAAGCTGGAGTTGAAAACTACAACGACTCTCTTTTAAATGCAGTAAAATATCTGACCATAGTTCAACAAGTCATAGGCACATATAGTGTGCCTGTACATGATGTCTTATGAAAATAATATACTGGCTATAGTGTTTCCAATCTAGTGTTTCGCTTCTTTTTTTTTCCTCATGTGTGCCAGATGTTTCAGTGTGTAGTCTTCTTGGGGGCTTTGCCAAATTTAGCATCCATTCCAAGACCTAAAGTGAGAAAACCAAAGATGTGAATGGAGGGAAGACACAACATCTGAACAGATATTTTATATACATTTAACCTGACGAAATGTCTTGATGCATACTCAATCATCCAGGTAAGTAAATTCCAAAAAGTTGACTCTGTTCATCTGGACGTAGCGTTTTCAATGGGAGAAACGTTTTGTCACTTGGATTGAAAAAACTATGTCCAGATGAACAGAATCAACCTTTTGGAAACCTGACGAAATGGAAATCTAATATATTAAAATACGAAAGTAATATAGTTACTGACCGAGGAATACGAGAATGGTGCCAACCCACTGCATTGTAGTCATTACATTGCCAAACAAAATAACAGAGCCAAGGATGGTGAAGAACTTCCTCGTAGTTGTGACAATGGAGCAGGTCAGAGGCCCAAAGTACACAACTGTCATGAAGATGAAGGTCTGAAAAAGGAACATTTGAGCCAGCCAGTCAGGATGTCAGTCATTACTAAGTAACTATTGTAAAACACAACAGGGTGTTTCCTGTTCTTTAATATGGCATTGCTAATAATCAGTACTCGCATTGATCCACCTACCTGGCCTAAAGCACTGGTGACGCCAAACAGAAATATATTGTAAAAGATGCCCGGGTGGCGCTCTGCAAAACTCAGGAATTCCCACACTTCCCCTGTCCACAACACCGCTGAGAACAGAGAGGAACGTAACATCAACAACTTTTCAAAAACACAGTTCATTTCTGACTATCCTTGGTAAGAAAACCAGACCGAGTTCACAGTGTGAATGTACAGCACCACCAAGTGGTTCTGTAAAGTATTAGCAGTTAGGTGAAATCTTAGTGTGGGGGTGTAATGAAATTGTAGGAGTGGAGGTATAAGAATACCTTTGCATCTTGGGAAATACTAGACATCAAAGTCTTGCTGTGCATGTTGAAACCAGGAGTATATCTGCATTTGCACACATTTGACAACCAATAACTAAAAGCTGTTAAGGTTGCATATTGGAACTGCACTTAACGCTTACAAAAAAACCCCAAACTTTATAAAGCTTTATAAAATGTAATTTAGCATAATAAAGTGGTTCAGGAAGGATAGAAAAACACTCCAAGACAGCAGACTCTACCAGTTAGTTAGCTTAAAAGTGATGACAGTCCTTCAGTTCTCATATAATCTTTGACCTTTTGATCTTTATCTCAGAGCCCATTAGTACCTAACCTTAAAAACCCATCATTAAATTGTGTTTGTTTTATGTGCCTTGCTCTTCAGCATATTGTAGCAATCTGCTAACAGAACTGAGGGCTTTGAGGTGCAGGATTTCTTATCTAAAAAGATAACACTCCGCACTATGCCTTGACTGAATTAATGAGTTTTTGCCTCCTGAGGGAAAAGTGCACACATTTTCTGCTTCTAATGCAGCCGTTATTGGTTCTGTTTGAGGTTGTTTTTGTTTTTTTTAAACTTCTTGCTACCATCTACTGCATCACACCCGCTATTCATCCTGGAGCTCGTGTCAGAATCCAGAATGAGAATAAAATATACCAAACTCACATTAAAATCACCTTAGGAACACAGCACTACAACGGAGAACACCTTATGGTACTTTTGTAAATGCAAAATCACCATGAGGTGATTTCACTTTGAATTGGTGTTTAAAAAGTTTTGAGTGGAAAAGCACCTGAAGAAAACTACATTAAACATAGGATATTTTGTTCTTATCTTTAATCAAAATTTTTTTGTTAATTATAAACATTATAGCACCATAAGAAATTTTCTGCAAAAGCCTCAAACCGGTACTATGCTCTTAGATAATTATTCACAAAGAAAGCTTTGAAACCGTATAATCAATTCACCAGTGTTGGCAGTACTGAACCACACCAAGGTGAGTTTGCTCATTAGTGTCTCCTCTCTAGCTGCAGGTGAGCAAATCAGTGTAATGGCCAGATGTATTTTCAGTTGGAATGAGAGCCTGCATGCTCCTGACACATATTCTATTAGATGTGAGACTCACCTAGTCCCAGCACCAGACTGGACCACATGTTGATGTTCAGCATCATGTGGTTCGCACCCGTCTGGAAACGAGCCCTCATGTGGTCCTGGGCCACACCAGTCAAACCGTCCAATGTCAGAGAGACCAGCTATGATGCAGCAAAACACAACACCGAGACGTGAGATGAAAGTAATGGGAAAGTCAAAGCACCCGTGAGGACACGAGGGAGATGCAGGCAGATGGGCAGCATATGAGGACAAATAGGTGAAATGAACAGAATATGTGTTCGCTCACCAGCAGAATCTCTCCAAAGCCAAAAATATGGTCATCAGCAACAGCAGAGCTCTTGTTGGGTTTATAGAGAAAAAGAGCAACGCCGCTCACAATCAGCAACACACACAGGTATTTAGCCAGTGGATACTTCTTCCTCAGTATTGTCACACCGAGGATCATCACTGCAAGGACACAATAACAGAAATATGAAGCCGATTGATAACAGCCTGGACGGCGTGTCAAAACTTCAGCCCTGAGAGTGAAACATATGGAAGGAAACAGAATTCAAGAGATAACCAAGCTGTGAGGGGTGAGCGATGACCTTCATGTATAAACAGAACATACTGTAATATGCAAAGCAGGCTCTCAGCTCCACATGCCTAAGAAGAATATTCAAACTAAATGTGTCCCTAATCTGTAAGAAAAGACCTCAGAATCACTCGTGTTTGTTTGGTAGCCTACACTTAAAATAAAAGTAAATAATTTGACTTTGTATATTTCCTCATACACACCCTGCATACTGTACACTTTCTGAATTAGTCAGTACAGACAGACTGCTGTCTGCGGAAACAAAGGTAAGCAGTGACAAAATATTATGTAAATGATATGGTGAAAGAAAGCAACACTACAACACTTATTATTGTTCGATTTACCTGGTATGGGTTTGCAGGATTTCCCCAAAACCTATCAAACAAAAACGCAGTTATAGAATATGCAAGGCTCAAGCACAAATACACATACATTGAAAAAAGAAAAACACATAACCAGTTACAGTTGACCCATTTAAATTGGGCATACTCACCTGGGTGGGGTAGTTGACATATTGAAGGGCAGAGTTACTGGACACCATCGCTCCAAGATAAGAGAGCGAGCACAGGCCATAGAGCCAGCTCTTCGTGTGATCTGGCTTGGAGCTCTCAAAAAACTGGATCACTAATTATTAAAAGAGAATTAAAGAAAAAAGTTCACAACATTACATTATTTTAAATATTAGGCAGAGAAGTTAACATACAAGAGATTCGACTAGTGTTGTTCTCAGGTGTTTCCTAGCAGAGTCAGTGGAGTCTTTTAACCACTGTTATTAGTTTTTGTGTGCATTTTGTGCAGCACATACTCACAAATCTTTGCAAAGACACAACTGATGATGCACTGGATGAAGACCAGCGTCCGGGCGAATCTAAACTTCTCGTGACCATAATCACCTCGAGTGCTAGAAAACAGAGAGCAACAGCATGTTGAACACAACAGACCCGTCTTGGCAGGAGCATGCAAATAGCTAGGTTAAACATCTGAGTGGTTTCATGTGTCTCCTAGCTGTGAAAAGGGCATTCAGAAAAGGAGAGTGAAAGAGGGGTGTGGTGAGGGTAGCAGTCTGTTAGTGGACCAAAGGTTTTTTCAGCAGCTGTCTTGCTTGAGTACTTAGTGTCAGTTTGCAATTGTTTTTACTGGGCTAATCTGAAGATAATATGTCCATGTTCATAACAACATGTAATAACATGTAATAAAAGTCAGACATTGGTTTGTAGAAGTGCCGCTTCACCTCACATGACATTTTCAAGTCATCATTTTGAAACCAGAGAGTATTCCTGTACCCTTTGTTGACAGCATACCATCTGTGTCCTTTCTCAGTATCGGTATGTAAAAGAGAACACAGGCAGAGCTCTGCTTACTTTACATAAGCCAAACTGCAGATTTTAAAGTTGCATGTATAGGAAAAACAGTAAACATGAAACTAACATGTCTCTTTTGCAAAAACTTATGACTGAACCAGTAAATCTCTGAGATTTTTAAATTTACTCCCCAAAAAAGAAAAACAATGCAAAAACAAAAGTCTGTGTAATGCAGAATTTGGCTTTTAAGATAGACTAAAAACAAAAAAAATTTCTTCAGAGAAGAAGTTTTCCAGATGTCTTATTCTTTTGCATATTTCTCACACATGTTTCATTTCATCAAACAAATTTTAATATTAGACAGTGATAACCAGAGAAAACCATGATTTAATTTATTAAGGCAAAAAGACCCAAACCTGTGTGAAAAAGTAATTGCGCCCATTTATCGTTAAACCACAAGTTAACTTTGATTACCGCAATTTGAAAGCTGAGCCCAGTTTCACTAGTCACACCCAGGCCAGAGTACTGCCAGATCCGTTGAATAAAGAAATTGCTTTAATAGATCTTGTCTGACAAAAGATCAACTTTTTAGAAAGTTTGAATCCCATCTTATCTAACGTAAAACCAACACAACATAACAGCAGCAGTCAAACATGGTGGTGGTAGTGTTATGACCTGAGGCTGCTTCATGATCAGAACAACTTGCTCTAATTGATGGAACCGCAAATTTTGCTCTACCAGAAAATCCTCATGTCCAGCCATCGGTTTGTGCCCTACAGTTTAAGTTCACTTGGGTTAAACAGGAAGAAAATAATCTGAAACACACCAGCAAGTCCACCTCAGAGCTGCTATAAGATGAAAGGTTTTGGCATGGCCTAGTCAAAGTCCAGACTTAATTTAGATTGACCGGAAACAGACATTCATTTTCAAAAAAACATTTAATGTGGTCAAAACAATCCTACAAAGAACAGTGAGGAAAGCAATATCTGCCCCACAGTGACATGAAGGAGTCATTGCCAGTTATCACAAATACTTGATTACAGTTCTTGTTACCAAGGTTGGCACAACCGCTTATTAGTTTCAGGGAGTAATTACTTTTGCAGAGCCCGGTAGGTTTATTTAATAAATTAAATAACAAGTTAAAAATGCCAGTTTATATTTACATGGGTCATCTTTGTCTAATAGTGAAATTTAAGTGTGACAAATATGTAAAAATAAATCAATCAATCAAAAAGGGGGGATACTGCTGCAGTACTGTATTTAGTTTTACTTAACAGATCTGGAGATCTACAAAGACAGTGCTTCAGGTCATATGCTCATATGATTAAGATTATGAGAACTGTGTTTTTTTTTCTAATGAGAAAACTATAACCAAACTCCAACTAAAATTTTAATTTAATTGAAATTTTAACACAGGCACTGTTACACCGGTAGCGACATCGTTAGATATCCCAAAACAATGCAAACGCATGTTGCAGAGTATTCAGTTATACCCTTCGGATTGTAAAACATGTTGTGGTAGGAAAAATAAACTAATTTAGATTCGGTGACGTCTGTATGCATAGCAATATTAAAGCGGCAGCTTTTTGAAGGGAGTTTTGGTTCACAGCAGCATAACAATGTATCTAGTTTAGCTTCGTTACTTGTTACTTACATCGTCTCTTGCAATATTCCGTAATAAAAGTAGCACACGAAGACTCCGAAGAAGCAAACGATGAACCGTAACCTCATATTGTCCCACAGCCAGGCGGGCTTCCCAGCTCCCTTTCCCGCTGCCATGCCGTCGTCGACCACACCGGGAATGTTAACCGACACCACCGCTCCACTTCCCGCTCCTCTCGCTCCGACCTCTCGCTCCACTATAGCCGCTATCACGAGCCCGGAAATGGCGCTCGGGTATTTACGTTGGCTGTGGATTATGCACCAGCTGGAAGACTTGCTGATATATCGCAGTAAATCTTATTTGCCGGAGCTTTCCAACTCTTGTCTTGAGATTCGAGTATCATGCCATAGTTGGTTGTCCTATATCACCCCAGACAGAAGGGTCTTCTAGCTGTGCAGCTGCTATAGCATCCCGTTTTTCACACCCGAGTAACGGTAAGGATGTGCCGCTCGGGTTTTCATTGGGAAATTAAAACCTGCAATTAGCAGGAAAAGTTATCTTCTAAAAGGACCCATTAGGTGTCAGCACCTGAGCCTGTACGCTTATATTAAGTTTAATAAAACTACCCTGAGTCATACAGGCATAATAACGTGTTTAATATACTCCGCTCCAATCCTGCAAACAAAACGCTGCCTCTTCTGTGATCGTTTGGTGTTCGCGTTAACCTTTAATGGTTAGTCGTGACTTGAGGCAGCTATTTAAAAAGCCGAGGTCCTTTCTTGAAAATGTCGCGTGCCCTTTTGTCGTCCTAGGATGTGGATTAAATTCATTGGTCCATGTAAGAACTATGGAGCCGCTTTAAGCCAATCACAAAGCTGATTTGGCAAAGGAGGCAGGGTTCAGATTTAAAAACCCACAGACACACGTGTCAAATGCAGACACGACAACAAAAAATAACCACAGGAATTATAATTACCGTAGAAGGCATTTTAACGCCCCCAAAACAATTTTCTTTTATTGTTTTCTACACAGGCAACAGCACAGGTAACATTTTTAACTGCTATCACGTAAAAAGAATACCAAAAAAAAAAGGCTGACAAATTCTTCATTGACGTTTACTCCCCATTTATCCTGTAGGTCATTTATTATGTTGAATAAACACAACTGAATAATAATTCAATCAAAGGGAAGTCAAGCTCTTCACTAACACTGTGGTCTAAACTCCAGGGTTCAAAAAAGGCTCAAACTGACAAACACTGCGACCTGCTCTAATTATAACAAAGCCCCCTGTAGGCAAATAAAGCTATAAAATGTCAGCACAAGTCAGAACAGTGAAAACAGAAGCAGTATCATCTGCTTCTTATAAAGACATAAAAATATGTATCTCCCTTGAAACACATCTGTAGAAAAGCAGGACATTGGAAACTTTAAGCCAAAAATATTTCAAACAGATATATATATATATATAAAAAAAATTCAACAAATATTTTGTTTTTCCATCAGTTAACCCTCACAAATTAAGCTGGATGTTTATCTAAAATAAACAATACTCAACTAGAATACCCATCAATTGTTTGGATAGTAAGAAGGCAAAACCTGTACCAGTGTGTGTTCTAATTGCTAGGGTTTTTGACAGTAAATTCTCATGTTTCAAGATGAAAAATAAAAGCATCCCTTCTAGACTGCGGTCTCTAACTAGAACAATTTTAATGCAAAAGAATGATTTAATAAACGCAAGTATTTATAAAGCTTTTCAAGCATTTCCACAACTTAAATCCTGCAGTCTAATCCATGCCTCATACGGTTGAATACTAGGTCAGTTTAAGTGTTGATGAGGTAAATATCAGCTGAATCAAAGCTTCCTGCAGGTGGAAAAAAAACATAAAAAAAACCCAAAACAAAAGATAAAGCGGGCAGAATTTAGGCCACAGTTATTCTAAAGTATGACAGCAACAAATCTTCACAGTCACAAAGGTTATTTTGATCACAGTGATGATGGCGTGTTACAGCAGTGATGCAACACTGTCCATTGTCACGATGCATTAAAAAAATATATATATCACATCCAGTTTCTGCTTGTCCTGGCAGTGCAATGTGGTTCAGTCCTGAGAGACTCTGCTCAGATATCCACCTACTGCATGCCCAGGTGCCTGGTAGGAGAGGCCTGACCTGAGCAGCCAGTGACGGGAGATACCGACAGGCCACGAAAGAGGAGGTCCATGGAGGGCAAGAGGGGCTTCAAAAGACTGACCGGGCAGAAAGCTGAGCCTCCGTGGGGGGTGAAGTTGACTTTATTGGGGTCAGGGCAGGATGACTGGAGGAGAGTCTCATCCTGATAGGCAGAGCTGTAGATGGAGAGATAGAAGCATGAACCCCCATACTGCAACACAGCACCCACGGCTTTATATGTAGTTACATATTTATAGCACCATAATAACAACTTCTACAACCATTAATTCCATTAAATCATTCAGTGAAAAATAACTGTCACACAAAATCAGAAGGTTTCAAGTGTGCACTGATATTCTGACAAGACTAATTTAAGCTGTTTTCTTCAAAAGTCTATAAATTAGCTTATTTCCTAAGGTTGTCATAGTGCATTGAGCTACATAGTTGATTTAACACACATTTTTAGGCCAGGTGTCCTTCCTGATGTAACCTTCTCATTTATCCAGACTTGGGACTGCTCCAAGGCAGATACTGACTCGTGACCTCCTGAGGCTGGGTTTGCGTTTCCTCCGAGTTGTGACCTTTTGCGCATTAGGCAATTTTGCTAATAAACACACTATGGAATCCCACAAATGTGTAGGATAAAATGCTTTTTCATCTGTTTCTGCTGATGCAGTGACTGGAGATTTTTCTACAGAATATCAAATAAGGATGCCGTTATTATTGCAATTAAAGTGCCACAAATAATAAGTCATCCTATTTCGGTAACACAATCAAGGCTTCGTTTTTCCTGTATATTTCATACTTGGTGACAAACAGAATTAACAGATGAAAACGTGGCATATAGGGAACCAATCTAAACTCAGATGGTGTCATAATTTGATAGCAACTACAGTGTGCAAATAACATCATCTTACTTAAATAATCATAGATTATATATGCATTTATGTCTCTAGATAACTATGTCCTCCTTAACGGGTGGGCCAATCTCAACAAAACGTTGTATAAATATCACCACACATATTGCAATTATTATGATCTATATGTTTTTTTTAAGGAAAAATTTCCTATAAATCCAAGTTCTTTGTATTTGTATATACACTATGTTTATTTAATGATTCCCCTGGAAATGCAATGTTACAGCCTCAGTTTGTACTTGTTTCACGTGTCACGTGGCTTAATGTAAATAAGCTACATTTTAAAAAAAATCCTCCTTGGAGACCTCTCAGACTGGAAAATGGCATAAATTTCATCAAAGTGGTGGACACTTGGTGCTCAACCTGGAACTGTTAAATTCATAAGGGACCACATGTTAATGCATAGCAAGCTGTTACAAAAATACACATAAATAATAAAATTGTATAAAACTTTTGCAACATTATTTGTCATTACTGGCTCCAAGGTTACAACGTGTGCCTTTTGTCTTGTGATCTGAACTTGATTTGGAGTGGTAATGACATCCTGTTTTGCTCTGATGGTACTTGTGGGAGGGGTTTAGTTGGGTACAAAAGTAAATTTGTGGTATAGAAAGTAGGAAATAATTGCATGATAGGATCTATGCATGATGCTTTGGTGTACTTACACTGCTTCCTCACACACTCGAACTCGCTCACAGCCTTCCGGCGGTTGGCGCTGAAAAGAGTAGGTTTTGTTGGGACGAGGCGAAGAGGAGCAGGCCTGCAGCAGAGGAGGATCCAGTGCAAATGAAGGAAGCGATGCTGATGGAGAGGGACACAAGATCTCATAGTCCACAGGCTCTGCATAAAGAGAGAGAGATTTTTACTAACAATACTAGAATTAAAGCAAACTTCTGTCTGTAGTATTATTATTTTTCAAAAATACATCCATTTATGGTTTAATAAAGCACTGCAAAACAGGAAATGTAAGCCTGTCTAACCTGGCTCTCCCATGGTGCAGGGAGATTGGGATGGGGATAAAAGTGATGGATTCAAAGGACAAGGTGAACCTGAAGGTGTCAGAAGTGACGCATCAAGAATACAAGGGGACTGAGAAGGAGAAAGAAGGGAAGGATCCAGTGGCCCCGGTGAGGGGTCACTCTGAGAGCCACTGCTGCATCTCTGGGCAGGGGCGGGAGCTCTGTGGCCATCTGGGATATCCAAAATCTGTAAAATTCAGAAGCAAATAAATGAAAATTTAGCATAATAACACTGAAGTGAATGTGAATGGACCAAAATCTCTGAGGAATGTTTCCAGCACCTTGTTGAATCTTTGCTATGAATAATTAAAACAGTTCTGAAAGCAAAAGGTGGTCCACCCTGGTATTAGCAAGGTGTAACTAATGAAGTGACCACTGATGAAATATGGCACACAGATATTTTGATGAGAAAAGCAACTGCACTATAAATTGGTTGATACTGGTAGTTCTTATAGCCTTTTGATATTAAAACCTTTCTGATTTTACGTATAAGCAAGTTTCAGTGACCTAACCTCATGCTGATCGTCTTGTTTTTCACACACAAACACTTCCTCCAGCTCTAAGTTGAGGCCCTCGACGCTCCGTCGCAGCCGCGGAGCAAGTCTGTTCAGCGGCATAAGCGTCATCGTCTGAGGAGAAACGAGTATAATACGGACAAATTTTGAGGTAGCCTAAGCCTGATTATCTGGTTTTTCCACTATTGCAATTGTTAATAGTCCATGTGAACAGTACAGAATGATATGCTCGTTTCAAACTGTCTTTCAGAGACAGCATGGCAGTAGCACGGCAGACTTGATGACAGCCAGTACTAAAAAAAGAACAAGTGTTTTTTATATCCCTGTTACCAAGCTCCTCCTCGTCTGCCTGTGGAACACAGTCTGCCATTGGAGGCAATCATAAAAACTTTGTTGTATGTGTCCTTTAATATCCTAATTGGACAAAAGGCTACCTGAGTGACTCCTGCTGCATGACCTGCAGGCAGGGGGTGGGGGGGGAGCTCGCATCCTGCTGAGGGAGGGGCATGGCGGGAACGCTTCTGCAACTGGTGTCTCAGCTTGGCCACCTGAGGGCAGAGTGGAGAGAAAAATGATTCAGGGGTCAATGTGATTCATTCAAGGTTAAGGTTCAAAGTTTGCCCTGAAGGAACCCTTTTCTTTCAGGCTATCAATGGGAGGCCAAAGAGAAGAAGAGTGTGGGTATGTGAGAGAAATAGAAGAAATGATTAATTAACTGCTTTAGTGTATATAATACTTGCCTCCCTTAAGTGCTCTGCACTGCCCCAAGAAGCTGAGCGCTTGTGCCCACCAGCACTTCGTCTTCCCCGGGTTTCCTCTGCCCAGGAACTTGGAGTCTTAAAACAAAAAAAAAGGAAGAGAGAGCATATATAAATAAGGCATCCAGTGTTTTTCCTGACATGCTGTTGAGGGGCTCTGGTAGAAAATGGCCTAATTGGCAGTAATTCTGGCTGTCAGAAAGGGCGACCTTTTTGGAGACCCACTCTATTTTTTTTTTTTTTTTGCCAAAACCAGCAAACTCCATTCAACACTCGTGTGCACAACACTTAAGTTGAGCCCCACAGCTGTCTTGCACACCTGCCCCACAACAGCTGTACAGCGGAAGGC